ATGTATCTCTGGGAGGATATGCTAGAGATAAGGCATGTTTTATGGCCCCATAATATGAATGGAGGGGATCTGTTATGTACCCGTTCTGCCAAACAATTAAAGATAGGTACTCCCTCAGATAACCAACCCCTATGCTGTTTTATATTAATATGTAATACCATGTTATAGTAATATGAGCAGAATAATGTAATGCATGCTGTTTTATGCAATACAGGTTGTCCTCAACTTACAACCACAATTGGGACCAGAATGTTGGTTGTTGAATGAAGTGGTCAATAAGCAAGTTGTTAATCAGACAAAGGGAAAGAAGGAAAAAGGAACTCTACAAGGAAATGAAATCTGAGTCTTCACAATCCTCACTTCCTTTTTTCAGCCCAGTGGAGGGCTTCATTTCCCCTTGCCACTTACTCACAAGCAACTCACTATTTACAAAGGACCATAGTAGCATAGCCATGTTGTCTGCTCAGCCCCTTAGCATCTGCTCTGATTGGGCAGATCTCTGTGGGGACAAAGGATAGCCTGAACATACTGCATCTAGGGAAGTGGAAAGCTCCTCAGCACTCATAGTATCCACCCAAGATTATTCCTCTGGGTTGTACCCTTTCCAGTCAATAATGAAGCACTCTAGATGACTCAAAGCTGGTGGAAGTCCAGGATCTATCTGATCTCATGCTTCAAGTTGTCTATCAACATTGATGGAGATGATGCAGCACTGTTATATGCCTGGTGTGGTGGCACATTTAGGACCAAGAAGGGGAGTGAAAGATAGGATGGAGCAAACAGATGAGTGGAGCTGGGCTTATACAGACAAATTTGATCTGTGCTCCCCAAACTTCACATGAATCAGATTAGATTGATTACAAAATCAAAGTTTTGATAGATTCCAAATACTAAGGATACAGCCGAGGGCATACACTTGTTTAGCAGACAATGACTAAGAATCATATTAACAACTGATGGTCATACTGGACTCAATCATAAAGAATCCAATATTTTGTATGTGGTAAAATCAAAGTCATACAGTCATTATTATTATTCAGTGCAAACCACAGATTAAAGGAATGACTTGAATGCAACTTAATTGTTAAGCAGCATCAGTTTTATTCACAACAGACATTATACTACAATTGATAAGAAGTCTCCCGTAACAGGGATTAAGAAATTATTATTATTCAATGTAATTCCTATTATGTGAAAAATAGATTCTATCGAGACTTAATTTTTCTTTTAATTTAAAAATTAAGAGAAGCAAACCCAGAAGCCATTGTGCACAAGATATAATGTAATCTCTGATATGCTGTTTTATTATTAATAACATTACTAAAGCTTTTAGCATGGTTTATTATGCTACATCAACATTTCATCACTCAGTTTATAACACATGAAACACTGTCCTTTTAACAAATGTAATTGTATTTGGGAAATAGGAATAGATGACTGCAAGATTTTCTTCTCATTTTGTCATTTGGTGTCATGAGTATTTTCAATAATATTTTTAAGATGCTCCTTTTTCCAGCAGTTTTAAATTCTCAGCGCATTTTAAATTTGCAGGACGAACATAAATCTGTACCTGGGTTCAGATACACACTGTATACTCTGTTTTGGTTTATTGTGCTCTGCCAGTTGCAGTTGCTGGCTTAGTGTTCAGTACTCCACTAAATGCAATTTACTTGAATAAATTACAGTTAAACAAACTGCAAATTAGCCTACCATATGAACCTAGCCAACATTACATAGGATTCCTCACTAAGCGCTAACAAAGCTCATATAGAATCTACTCCATATGAACGTTGAAATGGAGATGAATGTCACTCACCCCCATAGTCGGCAACAACTTATCGAAGCTCTATAGAGAGCTCTATATCGAAGCTCTATAGAGAGCATTTTATCCTATTGCCTCTGTGTGTGGTTCAGGAGTTGTACAGAGGCGGAGAAAAGGGCACTCCAAAGAGTGATTAAAAGGGCACAAAAGATCAGCGGATGTTCTCTTCCCTCATTGGAGGATTTGTATAACATGGGATGTAGAAGGAAGATACAAAAGATCTTGAGAGACCCTTCACATCCAGGCCACTCGTTGTTTGAGATCCTACCATCAGGAAGACGATATAGAGTCTTCTGAAAGCTAGGACAAGTAGATTTAAACATAGCTTTTACCCAAGTGCTGTGATCAGGTTAAATGCAGAGTTATGAATCTGGTGGTCTTAACATATATATATCCTGGTTGTATAGTTTTTAACTGTTACTTGTTTTAATTTGTTTTACATTGTTATTTGTATATGTCTTTTGGTGTTGTTCAGTTGTATGTTGTGAAAGAGCACCTTATTTCATTGTTCTCAGGTTCTGAGTACAATGACAATAAATTTATCTTATCTTATCTAACTGAGTAAAATTCACAGGGATCCATATGAATGTTATTAAAAAGTATTTAATGTGCAATGCCATTGTCTAAGAAAATATAGAGAAAATATTTAAAATTATGTGTCACTGAATTCATGAATCCACAAATATTTTGATTCAAAAACAAGAGAAAAATTCTAACATATAAGTTCCATTGCTAACATCCCAAATACAATGCCCAACAATCAGAAAGTGAAATCCAAACAGCATCTACTTCAGAGTCTCCAAGCCAATTTATCTAAATATTCAGTAGTCCCTTCAATTCAACCACTTTCCATGATTTTTTAAAAGTATTCTGTAAAAATAAAATAAATTCTCAGTCCAACACAGTTGAGAGGACTGTTTTGTTTTTTCTAGATCTCAACAGAGGGAAAATAAAATCCATCTCTATCTTTCTAAAGTTAATGAAAAATCAAAGTGCTATATATATATTCTTTTTTATAACTTAAGGAAGAAAGACTGTAAGAAAGACTTAAGGAAGAAATACTTTCTTCTTAAGGAAGAAAGATTGTAAGAAACAAATAAAAACACAAGTGGTATTTTAATTCGGCAAACTGCACTCTGTTTACAAAGCCATCAAACCTTCTGACAGAAGAAATTTCAGTATAATGCAAATACCAATGTAAGAGGACCAATAAGCAACTTTTCAAGAACTCCAGGAATTAAACTGGAACAGAATCTTCTAAATGAGAAAGACTTATCAATGAATACTGCAGTGCAAGATAATAAGAAAGTGCCAAATATCCAGATATAGCCTCAGAAATTGTAGCTTTAAGTGTGTGCTTTGACAAGTTGCTTTCTTTATATTAAGAAATTCCAAGTGTCAGTCATAAGTGCTCTTTGCATTACCCATAAAACGTATTTTATTTTCAACAAAAGAATATAAAGAGTGAGTGCATATGATTGAAATATTTTAAAGATTTTTTTCCTAGAACATAAATGCTAGAAGGCAGTGAACTGATTCATGAACTGTATTAAGCTATAATGTGGTTTACTCTATTCAAAATGCATTATATGAACACATCCACTGTATTTGTAAGCCATGATTTAACATGTGAATACAGCCAACTATGATTTTCTTGAACAAACTTCATTAAAAAAAATACAGCTTAGTGTAATGCAAGGGTCTTCAAACTTGGCAAGTTTATGTCTTGTGGACTTCAACTGCCAGAATTCCTGAGCTAACATGACTGGAGGAAGAATTCTAGGAGTTGAAGTCCACAAGTCTTAAAGATGTCAAATTTGAAGACCCCTGGTGTAAAGTATGAAGCTAGCCAATTTGGCAATCAAAAGTCCTAAATGCATAGGTATGATAAATAAATGGTTTAGAAAGCTTTAGGAAAAAAAATATTAAAGGACAGGCCACCTTCATCTGTTAGTTACTACAAATAAATGTAGTATTTATTACATAGGCCTCACTTCATTTAACATTCACTTCCATTCCCTACTTAAACTGAAAGGATTGCTGGAGATAAAATAAATATACCCTAGAGAATATGCCCAAAATTTCTATTACTAAACTAGACAATTAAGCAAGTTTTTCCCATTTTACGACCTTTCTTGCCATAGTTAAGTGAATCACAGCAGTTACATTAGTATTATGGTTAAGTGAATCTGGTTTCTCCATTGTTTTTGCTTGTCAAAAGGTGATCACAATAGCCCCTGGATTCTGAAACCTTCATAAATACATGCCAATTGACAAGTATGCAAATTTTGATCATGTGACCATGGGGATGCTGCAACATTCATGAGAAAAGTGCCATGTCGCTTTTTTCAGTGCTGTTCTAACTTTGGTCATTAAAGAAATGGTTGTAAATCGAGGACTACCTGTATGCATTTTCTCAGTTGACCCAACAGAAAATGTGCAATAAAAGAAACCTTCACCTAACCTAGATTCATTCTTAAACAGCATCTTTAAACTTTAATCAAGCATATTGTATTGAATTCCCTATCCATGTGCCCTGTTGGCTTTGACAATGCTAACTAAGGAAGCAGGAACGTGTCATTACTATAGCCAGGTTCTGTTGTTAGTAAGCAGATATAAAATATAATTAAGAACACAATTATAGTTACAGAAATAAGAGGAATACAAATATTTCAAGAAGCCTAAAGTATTGGATACACAACTGGAGAACATAAAATGCCCTTCTAATAAAGACTTTATACTAGTTTATTTTCCTATGTCTTTAATAGCAAAATCTTGAGCTGAAAGCTCTGCCTGCTGAGTTCTACGGATGAAGCTTGTTACTATGTTAAAAGCAGCCAGATACATTTTTCTCATTGTTTTTGTCTAAACACTTGAAATTTCAAGTAATTTAAAAACATTCACTAAGCACAAACCGAACGCGATAGGCAAGATAAACAAGACTACTCGCACGAATAAGCATGCGCAATAGACTGAATGGCTTGGCTTGGCTTTTCCCGAGCAGCCGCCAGATCCATATTGGTACTCAAGCGCATGCGTCGGACAAAAGAAAACAAGCGTACAGGCTTCAGAAAGCTCGTTGACGTTTTTCCTTCAGCTTCTTTCTCAAAGCGCATGCGCAAGAAGCATGCCTCACACCAACAGTTAGATTAAATAGTAGTGTTTTCCTTCTGCCTACCCGTAATATGGACGAGGCTCTGGTTTCTGCCAGGCAACGCTGCTTCTTTGCTGGGAATTTTTAGGAAAACCGAAGCGGCTTCTCCCATGGTGGCGAAAGTACGGAAGACACGGCAGGCAGTAGCAGCAAAAAACATTTGCCCCAAGGGCAAAAAGGAGGAAGAGGCGGTAACGATCCGCCTGACGGCTTGCGTAGGTACCGGGCTCGAGACCTTGGAGCACGTGGCCAGCAATCCGTGCGGGAGGGAAAAACAGAGGAGCCCATCCAGACACTGGCACTGCACCGGCGTTGCCTCTGGTCTTGCTGCTGGTTGTGTGTAACTTTCGTTTGACTCGCGTGCAATATTTACAACGGGATATCTGGCCCATAGGAAGATAAAGGAAAGGTTTGCACCTTAAACCAAGACATAGCTGGCTGCAAGTTTAGCACAGTGTGGTGGAAAACAAGCACCCGTGCTTAGTTTGTGGTTAAGTATGTTGTGAGTACTCGGAAAAGAAAGTGAATAGTACTTCCCAAATCTGGGTTAATTACCTAAAATTGGATAAAAGTGCTTTTTCTTTGGGTAACGAGACATAAATGCATTCATTACCCAGTCCACAAGGACGTTCAAATTGAAGTGTTTTACCTGGCTTTATTTATTTGATTTGTCAATCGCTTACAAAATAATAGGTATAAGTATAAACATAAGTAAGAATACAGAAAATAGGTACGATTAAATGGGGGCAATAGGACGGACGGGAGGTACGATGGTGCACTTATGCACGCTTTGGGTAAAAAAATTGGATAAGCAGTTTTGGATAATGAAGGAAAAAAAGTTGCGAACTACTGGAATAAACCATAGTTAAATCCGTCGTAGGGATGTTATTATACCAATAGTTTGTTATTGTTTTGCTTCCTCTCTAAAACGTGGATTATATCAGACAGTAATCTAAGTTTTGCTTAAGTATGATTTATGAAACAAGTGGCTGGCTTTGCACAATACAGTGAATGTGACTGAAGGACGTACTGCACTATAGTTAGATAACTAATTTGGGAAGTCCCCCTAGAACATGTAACTTGAAAATGCATATACTCAGTTTCTGCATATTAACATTCGGTACCTAATATAGTGTTTGCCAGCATAAGCTCTATTGTAATCCATAATTCATAAATTGCAGTGCTTTCAATTTGTACCACACTAAGTTATGACCAAGAAAAGCATATTGTGCCATAATACCATTCCTTAATTTCCCACAAGAAGGTTTTTCTGACCAAAGAAATTAGAATTTCTTAATGAATAAGGAATGCCCAAAATATTACCAGATGCTAGTCCAATTACTAAGATGTGTTTTTGAAATAGTAGTAGAACTTAATCATTTGTTTTAGTTTCTATAATATTCCTCTCAAATCTGACATTTATTTCTAAAGAAATAAAATTTATTGAACACCCATCTTAAGGTAACTGGGCAGTTTACAGCCATAAAAAATAAAATAAAAAACATAAAAAACTGCACATAGCCAAATACAGCAGACCAATTAAAAGATGGGAAGGACCGGAGCAGGATGAGGGGGGAGATGGAATCTGTTGTGAATCAAATAAGCACCTCCACTGTGTTTCTCCCCCATTGGAGCCCCAAAACCAACTGGCAGAGCCAGGTCTTTCAGCTCTTACAGAAAGTCAGGTGGGTCGCAGCCAACCTCACTCCCGGAGCGAAAATGTTCCACAGGGCAGGAGCCATGACAGAGAAGGCCCTTCTCCTGGACCCTGCCACCTGGAATACTTGGGCCGAGAGGGCCCGCAGAATGTCTCTTCTGCAAGCGCAAGCAGGTGGGTCAATCCCAGTGAGAAGAGATGGCTCCTCAAGTAGCTTGGACCCATGCTATGAAGGGCTTTAAAGATGATTACCAACAGCTTGAATTGCCTATGGAGATTCTCAGTCATTGCACATCATGGTTGCCCCAAAGGTGCTTTTCAAGACGCAACTGAACTTTCTGGTTTTTCTTTGAAGACGTTTCCTTCTTACCCAAGAAGCTTCTTGAGCATTGACTGGATGGTGGCAAATGGATGGTGGCGAATGGAAGGATAAATATATCCTTTTGAAGTAGGAAGTATAAGTTCCTTTTTAATGGAAGGAGTATAAATCCTTCCATTAAACAACAGCTTGAATTGCAGACCAGCAGCCAATGCAGCTCGCAAAGCAATAGTATTACATGGGCCATTCCTGGGGGCCCAAGAACTACCCACGCCAAAACCTTAATAGTACTAGCTTTTAGCATGGTGAACCTGCACAAGACCATTTTCCACTTGGAATTAATTGAATTGGCAGATATTTATATAATGGTCCACAGGACTTCATTCTGTCATATATATAAAACTATTAATGGGAGATTATAAAGAAATCTGTTTGGTGCTATCAGTATTACTAATAAAATGGCTACGTTCTTGACTCATATTCTCATGTGGCAGTTGTATTATTGTAGCAGCCTTTTGTCCAGATTACCAAAGACATCGCACCTAGTCTTGATTAGTTTCTAGAATTTTATTTATACTACCCTGGACAACGTATGTATGCAATAGGTATATGGGTGTGTGGGTGTTTCTCTATAGTATATATATGCATATGTTGATGCATGGATGTGTAAATATGTTTATTGTATCTGAATATGTCTCTGTATTTCAATGGACATATTAAATTGGATTAAATGGATACAAATACACTATATATAAATGTAGTGTAGATATATGTGTGTACATATGCATGCACATACATGTAATTTATATGTGAATGTGTGTGTTAGTATGCACATATGCATGCGTAGGTGCATAAATAATGTGGTTAAAGTACCAGTTATCACCTTTGAAGTCTATACAATTTTATTCCAGAAAAATTGAATAAACTTTTTCTAGATAATGCCTCCACATATGCAAAAAATGCACACACTGAAATCTTCAGGGGAGCTTTGGTTGAGTTGCCTAAGGCCACAAGAATTGGGAATGCTGTAAATAAATATTTAAAAGGCGATCTTAACAGTCTTGTGACACCTTCCATGGACCAAATAGAGTTCATACAAAAAATATCAGACTCTTTCATCAACTGGGTACATGAGATTCAGCTCAACCATTAGTCACCAGTGCAACAACAAATTACTATATAAAAGATAAAGGGTGGGGGGAGGTTAAAACTCATGTAATGTTTTCGGTAACATGGAATTTTCTTGCCATTCTATAGCCAAAAGGTAACTCTGACATTATTAGGAGTCCCCGACCCCCTTGGGGTTTATCTTCCTTCGAAGAAATTTTCAGTTTTAGTTATGAGTTCTCCAAAGCCATCTGGTGGATTTCTAGAGGAAGCGCAGCAACGCACTTCATGCTGGTTTACATCAGGAAATTCTTTTGGATTTCAAAGCTTAAAACCAGACCCATCCAATAGAAGAAGAAAAGTGCAAGAGGATATATAATAGCCACTTTATAAGTTTTCTGGCCATGTGTTTTTCAAAAGAAAAGATGCATTTAAAATTATGAAAAAAATTCCATTCTAGTTAGACCAGTTTTTAGCATGGAACATCAAAACAGAACTCTATACTGTGGCCACACTATAGAAGAAGCAGGTGCATACTGAGGCATAGTCCAGAGCTTATGGATCCCTTGGCTAATACATTCAGGTCTTCAATTGAAGATGTTTATAGTTCTGGATAAACAAACAGCACATTTGTGATCTAGTCTTATGTATATAGTGGCGTTTTAAACTATTTACTAAATGTTTTTAATTTTTAATTATTTTAATTTTTAAATACTTGTAGTGTGATTGTGATGTGGTGTTTGGGACACTGTGCTGGAGTAGCTTTCAAATTTCATTGTATTCATGGAATGCAATGACAATAAAGGTAAATTCTAAATAAGTGTCAGATAATGTGTACTTGATGGCAAGTCGGTTTTGCACAGAAAAGGAAATCCAACATGACAATCCTGATTCTGTCTCCAAAAAAATTAAAAAGTGGATATCTCTTGTTTGTTTACGTGGTAGATAGATTGGTATGCTTGCCACCAACAGTATATGCAGGAATTCCCTCTAAATACGTTTTAACTGCAGAGCATCTAGTTAAAAGCACAGTTATTTTAGGCAAGGTTGCTGAAGATCTGGCAGCAATCTATATTATTCTCTTGAGAATAGAAATTTCTTACTTGCATAGTTTAATAACTAGTCAAAATGAGCTGACAAGAGCAATGATGATTGGTGTTGATTAAACTGTACAATGTTCAGCCCCTTTACATAAGGCAATCAGTAGCAATATTTATTTATTGTAAGCTGGCCAGTATGTGATTTGGGCAGCTGTATATGTTCAATAAATAAACATCTGAAATACTCTTGGACACTAATTCTGAATATATTATTTAAATAAATATGGGTGACATTGAAGTCTGCATATCCAATTCTAATGGAATATATTTACTGTGATAAAGTTTATGCCTCAATCATGGAAAAGAAATATGGACATCATTGCAAGCATGTAGACCTAGATATTTTGCCTTCTGTTGCCTCAGACAATATAAGCATATTGATTGGTTGGGGGATTGTGGTTTTTTTCTTGACTTAATAAAGTATATATAGCTTATTTTCCAGCAAATCACTTATTATCATGGAAAATACTGGATCATTCCATATTGGCAATATTCAACAACTTCTGAGTGTTCAAATGGGCATTACTCAGCATAATTGAAGTAATGAATTCTCTACAGGTAGAGATTGATCCCCTCTGTTATTATAATAAGTATATGTCCATTGTCTTTCATGGTTCACCCTGTATTTGACTATATTAAAAAAAAACACTTCTGTAACTGCTTTTAATTATTATCCAGGAGATTGCTTCTAAAGTGGCAGCTCAGAATATAAAACTGCCATTCCATCTTTGAATGAATCCCAAGTAATACATGGCCTATAATAATTGAATCAGCCATATGCTGATATTTCTCCTTTACATTTGCCAATTTAATTATATGCAGTAGCGTATAATTATATGAAAAAAAAACTAAGATAAGGATTATTGCTGCTGGAGAAGCTCATGCACCAAATTTACTGACCTGAAGCTATGATTTTTAGGCTAGCCTTTTCCAAGATATTGTCCTCCAAATGTATTGGACTAATTTCCATGGTCATCCTGTGTATCTGGGAAAGCATGATAGTTGATCAAACCTG